AGCCAAACCATCCATGAGGGGAAGGTAAGAATTCGAAAGCATGTTCCTTTCTAATCACCAATCATGCACGCTTGAAAATAGCCCCGAGGTGACCATTGGAGCCACACTCATATGCGTGCTTTTCACGGCTGCTGCGTGCCACATGGCCCAAGCTCCTACCAACAAAGGCAAAACGATCGACACTGTTGGAACGGCTAAACATTTCACGCAACCCCTACCCCGTTCTTTACCTTGCAACGGGGGGCTTTCTGGTTTCTAGACTTGAGGCCGAGGGTAGGTGACGAAAGCTAGCAGGGATGCACATCCGTGTCAGTGGAGGCGAAGCATACAGCGCAGTCCAACGACAAAGGACTGGTGTCCCAGAGGCGTCCCAGAATAGAGTTGAACCCGCGCGGGGGGGGGGCTTTCTACATATGCAGTTTTCACGTGATGCGGCGATCTCGAGGATTCCAGCCCCTCACTTGCTAAAGCAAGGACAACTCCAGCTAGCTGGTATAATTCGAGTCACCAATACATTCTCTATATTATCCCTTTACGGATGGTAAAAAATTAGATCCGGACAACCCTCATGAAGGCTACCCTTCGTGATTCGTACATCTCATCTTTCATCTCTTGGGGGAGGCTCTCGAGCGAGCTCATCAACGCCTGGTGTTGTGCATGTGCCGAATAACCAGAATGGCCCACGTGAGTGTTGCGTGCTTCATGAAGTACCGGTTGCTTTTGTCCTGCCTTGTCCCGCTGAATGCTTGCTCCCGAACAGGAAGACTGTCGAGTTTTTTCGAGACTTGAGTAGCCGCCCATTTACCTCTCCGCCAGGAGACGGGAAACCTTGCTTGTCTCACAAGGAGTCTCCGCACTGTTTTCTCTCCTCCGCTGGATGGCCGTCATCTCCACTTCTCCGACTATACCCGTGGCAGTCACCACATGATACCCCGCTTGTCTGCTTCTTTGTCTTGCCGCGCGGTGGGCAAAGCACACACTTAGCAACTGCTCACAAGGCTTGTCTCCTTGTTTCAACTCGCCTCACAGGAAACATGATGTGGTTTCAACTGTTTCGGGTTTGTTGTTTGGCTCAATTTCAAATTTGATGGTTTAATCTTTTCTGTGAAAGCACCGCTCACTTAGACTTCTAACACATTGATGCTCTATGTCTGTGTGTGTGTTCATTCGTGCGTTCTTGTTGCGTTGCTGTTTCTTGGTCGTCAGAGCAGACGAAACCAAATCTGCGTCCTGAGTTTCTTGCAAGACTACCTGGGAGGAAAGGACGTCCACACAGAGCATCTCAATTCGACTCGACCAATATTCAGGAACCAATCCTAAAGGCACGGTTCTTGGCATGTTTGAGTGAAACTCTGCCCACTTCGCCTCCAAGTCACTCAACGAGAAAGGCACCTGTCTGTGTGAATATTCGTAGATGAGTGCCCCATTGCACGCAGGAAGTTGCATTCTACCCTTTCGGATGTGAAAACTGTGCGCCAGAAACGACCGATCCTGAGCCCGCGGTTTGCCAATTGAAGTTTGCAAATGCAGAAGAAGACCCATTGAATCCTGACCCCCACCTCAGCACTCAGATTGCCCGCAAGGGCGAACTTAGTGGTGCAAGAGGGAGTAGGCCCAGGAGGCTGGCTGCAGGACGCCTTTGTCAGATTGCTAAGGCAGGATTTGCCCGGTCGTTGGAGCTGGCAGCGGAATACCAAAGCAAAGGACCGGTTGCAAAGGCTCGCTCCAGCGTATGTAGCAAGGGCTCACCAGCTGCACCAGCGGGTGATGGCCAAAGCGTGCCAATGCGTTCCCAGAAACACACTAACCTCATGGCATAGACATTACAATGATGAGCCTCGACGCAAATCAAACGCAGCAGGACCAAGGCTTTGTGCCAGAGGAAGTGGCTCGTTGCAAACAGCACCATTCAACTTGTCGATGCCTCGAAACTTCGGATGAGGAAAGCGTATGGTTGACGTTGCATGGGTGGGAACGAGCGTGTCACAAAATTTGTGGCGTGCTGTCGTCGAAACCCAGCAAGCTCACGGACTTTCTTGGGGTTCTTATTCTATGCGGTTGTCAGGGGTGTGCCCTCTATCTTTCACTTGACTTTTCCCACTGTTGCGTTGGTTGAATAACAACAGATTCGCTTAGGTGGATGAGCAACAAAAATTGCCGGTCAACATCCTTCTATGAAGCTTTCTTGCCAACTTGAGGCTTGCCATCAGTGAAAAAAATGTCACCAAAACGTACAACTACTTTCTGGGAGTCCGGAGTCCACATGTCCAAAAGAGAATACAATCACCTCTTGGCAGAACTTGGGGAGAGAGCTGCAAACTTGCGTTGCGCGGCACAGGAAGACCGCAGGCTGCAACGTGGAGCGAGTCAATGCCGTTGCCAACGTGGTTTCGAGTCCAATTCTGTCAACAACGACGTCGGTCTTGGGATCGATGTGAAACGATGATTTCTCTGCCAGCGCGGAGAAAGATGAATAGAGCAATCTGGATCGGACAAGCTACATCATCCACAACAATTCCCGTTCCATGTGGGTGACATCAATGTCTTCAGTAGAACAACCATCTTTACTCGCAAGATTTGTTTGGTTTCGCACAAGAACTGTTGCTCTCATTTGAACTCAGGTGCATCGAAAATCCTGAGACAGAATTCTGCTACGAGCCAATAAGTCAACCGGTCAAGGGTGAGCAGATTCCAAAGATTGCGTTTCTCCAGAAAGTACAGTAGTTGTCTGATAGTATTCTAGTTTTTGTTCTGAAAGTGTTGATTCTAAAGAGTAATTCAACAAGCTGAGCACGGACTCCAATCAGGCGGAACGTGTTGGGGCTTTTTGTCACAGGTCTAGCAGGCAAATTACTAACCTCGTCAGACTGGTGATGTTACAGCGCTCGTTTATGGTAGTCAGTCGCAAGAGTCGTAACCCAGCTATGGATGGAAGGGACTCATTTGCTACATATCGGCGTTGCTTTCCAACGTGAAGCTAGTCTGTGGTGCTGATCGTGCCAGGGTGAGATACAGGTGACCCTGGTGGGTTATATAAATTAGGGGCGGTTGCACTACTGGAGCCAGGAAGGTGTGTCAGCAAATTGGTGAAGCAGCAACTGAAAACAGGGATGTGGCAAGGAGACAGCGATGCTCTTTAGAAGTAAGCGAGCTCCAAAACTGTGTAGGCCCATTTGCACACAAAGTCGGCTTCCAAACAAGCTTCTGGGCCGGGCCATCGAATCCACCAGCGGACAAGCACACAAGGGAAAGCATTGCCACTTGGGTGTGTTGACGTACTGACCGCCCAACGCAAGGCAATACAGTGGGCATGGCCGTTAGGCTCGCTGATCAACGTTTGACTATGGTCTGCCAATGCGTGCGTGCTTTTGCCAGTTCGTGCTTGGGTATCTCTTTCCCGTGAAAGGGGTTCACCCACCCATCAGAACTGGAGAAACGTTCAACGTCTGACAACTGCAGAAACACAGAAGAATGATCGTCCTCGAGCCGCCTGAGTCAGGCCTCTGAGCGCCAGGCCCTTTGACGGGCCTGTCGCAGCTCTACTCACATAGTGGACTCAACCTGGCATGCTATCGTTGGTCACCCAGAGTCACCCAGCCACAAAAGTGAGGCCATCACTTCTAGGTTGGGGCATGTTGAGGCCATCGAGGATAGAAACAAAGAAAGGAGAAAAGGAAGAAAGGTGTAATATAGTTTAGTGCGGGCCTCTTGTCACCCAGGCCAGAATCAGAAAGAGCTTTGTGCGATGAGGTCCCATGTGTCACGCTGCAACTACCCTTCAAAAACTGGGTTGTGTTCATGTCAAAATATGCTTCCTCACAAAAGGATAGGCGAGGTTTGCCAGTCACACTGAGGGAAGACTTGCAAAGGGAGAGCTGATTCCTTCGTGTTAGGCCGGGCGGGGGAGGCCGGTAGGCCGGTCGTAGGGATGGGCTAACAAGTAAGCTAAGTAAGTAGGTTAAGGACTTCGGCTTGGACGCAGGCTAGGGCCTAGGGCTCAGGCTTAATGATTCGTTCCTACAGAATTCTTGCGTAAATTTATGTCACTTCCTTCCTTTCATGTTTCATTGTTTTTCATGTCTATTGCTAAGGTTCTTCGTATCACAGTCCCATGACATGCAGTTCATCAAACGTGCGCCAAACCGAAGACCCCGCTTTTGATGCTTTGGCTAACACAGAATCTGAAGAATCGAACCGAAGGAGTCGAGAGAAAAGAGCCCAGACTGCAAAATGTGCTTTGCTTGGTTTTTGTTGGCCGGCCCTTAATTAAGTAGGCGCCCGCTTATATAATTACAGTATATAAGGCAGTAAGCTCCTAGGTAGAGTCAGCTCCCACCGGACGCGGCGGAAGCTCCCCCACCTGAGGGTGGGGGGCAGCTTCCTTGAAGAAGCGTTCGCACTCATTAATCTCTCAGTTGTCGTGCAACTCTTCGTCCAATCGAGGTCATGCATACGTGGGTCGTAAAGCTGGCCTGGTGATAGCCCATGCAACTCCACAAAGGTCCTGCAATGCAGCAAGCTGACTTTAAAAACCACCTATTACTTTTGGTGCACCCCAACTAAGTGGACCACAGTTTCGCAAGCTGGGACAAGCCATGTTGAAAATGCACCTTATCCGGCCTTTTCGACAAAGCGTTCAAGTGATTTCGCCGCTGGTTCTACATCCTGCTGCACATCGCCCTTTGAAAGTTGCAGCCGGCCTTGTTAAGTCTGGTGCACATCACGTGCTCAAACAATGCTTCAAATACACCTCGTGAATTTTACAGTTTTATAACAATTCTTCTTAGTCGGTCAGATCTTAACTTGCCTGGCCACTTGGGCAGCTGCAGAAGTCGGTTACGCAACCTCTCTTGTAAAAATCTGATCTGGGTAAACTTTGGGTGCAACTGTCAAGTGATGCCAATGCCGTGCTATGCGCTGTGTACTTGTCTTTGGACATCAATGAGATTCTTCACGGGAGTCCCACATGTCAGTCTCCCTTTCACGACCAAGAGCTTAGCTCAGATAGCGGCGAAGACCTCCTTTGCAGCCGCAATGGTCTTCTCAATGTCCTCCTCGGTATGTGCCAGCGAAGTGAAGCCTGCCTCATACTGGGAAGGCGCCAAGTAGATGCCCTGGCCATGCAATCCATCAAAAACAATCTGAGTCTATTGGTAAATTTCACACCACGGGTTTTTTTAGGGTTTAGTTCAGCCCAACTTGGAGTTACAATATTTTTAGGTGCGCGTACTCATGGTTCAGGACTCAATGGACCAATGACAGTTTCCATTCCTGTTTTGCTTGAATCCATTGAAAAAAACTAACTGCAGGGTTCTCTTTTTTTCCAATCCCCTAGATGCCTTACAGATTTGGGGCTCACCAAAAGCCATAATGCCATTCCAACACCAAACAAGCCTGCATGGTCTCAAGTGTTTAACAGATCCATTCAGTTCAGGGAACCATGGAGATCATGGAACTGTCAGAGGAATAAACAAAGAGCTGATTCAATTCAAAGAACTCACATCGGAGTCCGAGGTCGAGCCTGACATATGAGATCATGAAACGTGTTTGGTTTTCGTCTTATGTTGAAACTTGAAACCACTCCCTTGAATCATGGAACATGTGTTGAAACCTGTGATGTCAATGTTCTTTGAACACACGGAGCGGCAGTTGGATCAAAAGTAAACAACAATGGCCATCCAGTGATGTGTCTTGTGAACAGGTGGCAGTGATCAACTGACTGACCCTGTAACAAAAGGATATCAAAAAAATACATCAACAATTGCAACAATGCCTCAAAACTATATTGTTAGCATGTACAACTCAGAGCTATTTGGACCGTTCCAACCAACATCTATTATGTGGACCTGTGTTTTGTTTAAACTTTGTTCAGAAATTGAAACATCCGACCCAAAGGATATAATCCCATAAAAAAATAAGGAAAAACAAAACATTATGTTCCAGAATTTCTGGAACTAAAAGTGGCGGGTATGTCTTCGTAATCTTGAAGGCTTCAAAGCCCAACAAAAACAGTCCCGTGAAAAGGTGAGTTGACAATAAAATGTTCATGAGTTTGCACAACAAAAGTCAGCCAAATGATTGGTCCCTAGGGAATATAACATATAGTTCCAGAATTTCCCGAACTATATGTGTTTTTGGATGAGGTTCCATGGTCGTGGACAGTCGCAGAGTTCTGGGACTCCTGGTTCCAGACATTCTTTAACTATAAGTTTCTGGAGGGCTCTCCGCGACCATGGAAACCCGGGCCACCCTCTCCACTACGGGTACATTTTGATGGAATGGGAATTTATCAAGTGATTCACTTTTTGGAAAGGGTTCAGCATGTTTGAGACATTTTAAGACCCATTGGATGGGATCCCTGCAACGTGCCTTCCGACAAGTAAAACTCTGTTCAGAAATTGAAGCAGCTGGTTCAAAAAGTTATAATCCCGGAAAAGACTTATAGTTCTAGAATTTGTGGAACTATAAATTTATAATCCCTGGGGACCAGTTTTTTAGCGGGTATGTCTTTGCTTTTTTGGAGAGGGCTAGGCCACTGCGAAGGACTGGCGGGAGCCAGAGAGCAGCCATGTTTGGCGAGATCATGAAGAATGCATGGCTGCATGAACAATCTGTGTCTGCAGTTGATCTTGCTCTGGGCGCAGGTAGCGGAGCAACACGAACAAATAGTCGCGAATATCGGGAAGAACGTATTGTTCATCTTGAGGTTGCGGCAGATTGGCAACCCGAGCTTGGAAGTCGTCCAAAGCATGTGACGGTCTATCAAAAGTCCTTTGCCCAAAACCGTTGCTAAGTCGCAATTCCA